ACCATGCACACAGACCACCTTATGCAACTGTGAAGACCATACGAAAGCAGCCCCACAGCCAGGTGTGTGTCTCAGCAGGCGGTAACTCTGCGAATCAGTGAGCCAGTAGCATGACATCATGTCTCCTGCAGTGCCCCCCCTCCCACTTCCTGTTTCTCCTGTCCTTCATCTCCCAGCAGGCGATTCTGCTTCATTTGTTTTTTGTATTTTTTTTCTGCAAGAAATCACCAGAATAGTAAAGGACACCAAAGCTTTTTTTCCCCCTCTAACCCACTCAAGCTGCTCCAGTGTTGCCTCAGAGAATTCTTTTGTGGGGCAAAGGCATATCTCATCCATCTTTTTTTGACATGTTAAACTGTCAATCATGCAACATGGAAGGTCAACAGATTTTGTTCCCCTCACAAATCACAAGTTTAAGGCTTGAATCATCAAGTGTCTTCTTTGGAAGGAGGGGGATGAGCTTTCCGAAGAAGAAAGGAATAAGTTTTCTAGTGTAATCCTGCGACACAATGCTCCTTCCTGGGCTGGGTCTCGTTATCTATTATTTATATATATATTTTCATGCCTGTTTCTTTATATCAGAGTATTTATGATGTGTCCCATGGTGCTAACAGAGGCAGGTGGCCAATATGTTTACCTTGGCTCTCAGAGGCACTGTCACAAGAGCGTACTCATGGGTTTATCATCGTGTTGACACTCAAGGGGATTATACAAAGACAGAAACAAGCAAGGTTTATCAGCTTCAAACCCACAGCAGAACACACATACTCTCTCTCTCACACACACACACACACACACACACAACCACACTAAATCAGCAATCCAACATGTCCAGAGTCCAGAAATGCAATGCAATAATTAGAGGGACTGAATACAGCGATTACACACTCTTTCTATCATCCGCTCACTCTTTCTTTCTGTCATCTCTCTTTCAGCGAGGCTGTCTTTCTCTCCTCTCCCTCTTTTCATCACTCTCGTCCAAAACGCTTTCTGCTGTTGACGAGACACTGCAGGTGCGTTGGAAAGAAGCACAAGCATGAAATCTCTCTGGACGCAGGGGAACACAGAAACACACACGCGCAAACACACACATAGAGAAACATTCCAACCCTCCCAGGCAGTGAGCAGAATTGAGCAGAATCAGACGACAGGGAAAAAGGGGGCCGCTGGAGAGACAGTGAAACAAAAAGCAGAAGGCTCCTCTTTCATTCCGCCCCTCCGTCCGTTCACATTTCAAATTCTCTCTGTTGTTTCTCCTCTTTCTGCCTCTTGTCTCTCCTCCCTCGTTTCCGATCCTCCCAGACGGATCGCAGCTGTCAAACTTTTGACGTCTTCATCTACCTCGGTCATGACCCTGCACTCTGAAGCTAAACTTTCTCTGTTTGAGTGTGTGCGGCTGTCAGTCACAGTTTTTGACGTCTTCATCGAGCTCAGTCATGACCTCGGTCTTAACCACCGGTTTACAAAAGAGGGGGAGTTCCCTCTCTCTTGTGTTTCTCTAGTCGTCCCCTTTGCACCCGATGACGAACCCCCAGCGGGGGAGGGGCAGCTCGGTATTGATGCCGGCTGCTGTCAGTGGCCTTCTTTCAATCCCCCTCTCGCCCCATTCAACATCTAATCCCTTCTTCCTCTCCAGAGCTTCTCCTCTCATCCTCCCTATCCTCATTACTCTGTGTCAAGACTGAAAATGAACTTTTCACATTTCACCACTTTAGCTAAGTCTACTCTGAATTCAGTTCAATTCAGCTTTTGGGTTTTTGGGAATGCTAAAATGCATTAGCAATGCATTAAAAAATAAGGCAGACAGTAAACATATGTACAGAGAGGCAACCTGGTTGTTGAACCAGGACTCTTAGCATAATAATAAAAATATATATTAAATGCCCAGATTTGCTGTAATCTGTATACCTAAGTCGTGTGATACAACAGGCATTTATAACAGAAAAGAATGTAAAAATATTTTACAGACATACAAGGCTAAATGAACTATTCCTATGATTTATGATATGATTTATTACTATTGCACAGTTTTGGGTTTTTTTCACCAAGAAGGTCTGGACTTTTTGCTACAATTTGAAATAGTTCATTTATTAAATTAAAGGAATAGTTGGATGTTTATAAAATACTAGGTGTATTCCCTTCCTTCTTTATTGCCAAGAGTTAGATTACCAGATTGATACCACTTTCATATTTATCCGTTAAAGCCAGGCATCCTGGATATGATTAGCTAGAGCATAAAACTCAATTCAAGGGTGAAGAAACAATGTCTGAGTCATTTGTTTAGCGCGTACAAAACCCAGAAGTGAAGAAACGATGGGTTTTTCTTATATGGGGGGTAATGTGTGGAATTATATCTTGGCCCAGGAGCCGTGACTTCCTCTATCTTTTCATCTAACTCGCTCTAACTCTATTCCTTTAAGCTATTTGGTGGGAATGCATGATTCATTTTTTTCCTGCATTGTTCAGTATGAACCCAACCGTAATCACAGGTCTCTGCCCAATTCACTTAGTTTCTGTCTATCCGTCTTTGCCTGTGTCTGTTATACTAACTGAGTGAAGGCGCACAAGTCTAGAAGATCCAGTAAGGGTAGAAGAGACAGGTCATCTAAATCTCCTCTCAAATCTATCTGCCTTTTCCCTCCATCCTGCTTGGCCCTCCCCCTCTCTTTCTCTCTGCGAATTTCAAACTGAAAATGGGAGAAGCGTTAAAGCGTCTATCCAATACTGCAGGGTCAGAGTTTTCGCTGAGCAGCATTCGGTATTCATCCAGACTTTGATAGATTTCCACTGAGGCAGCTGAGCCCGGCCAACAACACTGACAGGCAGTGAGAGTGGGGAGATGCAGAGAAGAGAGCAGCAGATAGATAGATTGCACTTCACATCTGCTAGAGGTTCAACAGAGTCAAGGGTCTCTCCTAAATCTAGTTGAGGAGGAACATCTTTCAGGCCTCAGGGACCACCCCGCAAACCTCCTCCTCTTTTCAGACAGAACAAACGGGGCGAGCATGGTGAAGGTTTTAGGGAACATTTGTCATATAGAGAATTTTGGCTACTGCTCTTCTCATTGCAAAGAGAAAAAAGTTTCTTTCGCCTCTTTATCGCCAACTGGCACCAACTGCACCCCTCTCTTTGTGTCTATCTCTCCATCTTTCTCTCTCGCAGGGTCTCTTCTCTTCTCTTTGAATTATGAGTCTGTTTGTTATACAATTAGCCTGCTGGGATAGGCTTCATAAATAAAACTGAGGGAACAGATCAGTGAGTCGCTCTCCCTTTTCTCTATTGGTCTCTGTCCATCTGTGTGTGTGTGTGTGTGTGAGCGAACATGTTGTGTGTCTGTTTTATATGTGACTGAATAGGGGGAGTGAAGCCATGTTGTAAAAGTGTCTCCACCAAGTCTGTTGTCCCGCGTTCACCCCACTTTCTCACACAAACACGCACATTTAGTAGTCTTCACTATCACAACAGTCACTTTCAAACATTACACGTCATCCATGCCACATGTATGTTGGTGAGAGGTGTGAACAGCTTGCATATTTGTTACCGTAAAGTTCAGACCAGATTTGTAAGTGATAGAAAGACATTTTTGTCCAGATGGCTGTTGTTATGTCAGCACACCTCACACTGAGACCTGTAAGCATCTATTGATACCCAGCAACTTAAAAAATCTCTTTACATCTTGCATTAATTAAAATATACTAGATAAACTTAGATTGAGGATAATGATGGTAATGTGATATTTGGGGTTACTTTTCAAAAGATGTTTAATGTATGGATTGGAAGGTAAGAATGACTTCCAGCTTTTTGACTAAACATAATGATTGTTATCTCCTACAACCAGCACAGGTGAATATCTTAAAGGAATAGTTTGACATCTTTCGTAAATTTGCTTTAATGCCAGAGAGTTATCAATACCATTCTCATGACTATCTGATAAACAGAAGACAGCAGTCAGGAGCATAAAGACTGGAAACAGGAGAAAACAGCTAGCCTGGCACTGTCCAAAGGTACCAAAATCTCCATACCAACACCTCTAAAGGTCACTAATTAACACATTGCATCTTTTTTGTTCAGCCATATCAAAACACAGTGTAAAGATGACACATTGTGGTTTTGCGGAGGTGTGTCCGACTCTTTCTTGCCGCGTGCATTAACTCTCTGGAGTCTTGCTTTCACCATGAGTGTGCCAAGCAACCAGCTGAGCAACCATGAGATGTAGCAAGCTAATTAGTGAGCTTTAGGGGGTAGGTGGACTATGTTACCTTTGGACAGTGCCAAGCTAGTCGTTTCCCCTTTCTTCCAGTGTTTGTGCTAGGCTACACTAACCAGCTCAGACTGATACGATTGATACGTGTTATCAATCATCTCATCCAAGTCTTGGCAAGAAAGTGAATAACTATTTCCCAACATGTTGAATTATACCTTTAATCTGAGTTTGTGCTGTTGTCAAAGAATTACATCTGCCATCAAAAATCCAAATGCAGATTCAGACATTTTTGACTATTCAAAAAATATGTGGCTATTTAAAAAAAAGTTATTTTTACTGCCACTTGAAAGGAATGCAATTTCTAACACAGTTTTGTACTGCCAACCAAAGTCCAATCTACACTCCAATCTGCGCCCAGAAGAAATGTCTGAAACAACTATCATTCTGTAAAAGGTGGAAAAAAATATTCACATAGATTCACTAGTTGTGGTGTTTTGGAAAATACTGCATGGTGACTATCCCCTTTGAGATGACAAGAATTCTAAATACAGTGCTTGAAAATAATTAAAACAATCCACAGAATAATCAAGCAGGTGTTAAATACTACACAAACCAAATCTTTGTCACTGTTTTCCATCATTAGCAAAAAGCTTGTTAACTCTCTCACTGATGATTGTTACTCATAGAGACATGGGACTAGAGAAGTAGCAGCACGAGGGAAGAGGAGAGCTACGGATGAGTCAGACCATCACAAAAACAAACAAATACAAAATTATGCTACAGTAGCTCTGTTGCATCACTTACCTTTACATGTGCCACTCTTCTCTTGATATCCTGGGTTACAGAGACATCCACCAATAGGAACCAACCACTCTCCATCAGCGCCACAGTACATTTTAGGCTCATCTCTCTCTTCTGATTGGTTGACACAAGACCCCCTGACCTCCACTAAGGAAGACGTGTCAGCCCCGGTCACAGTGTCGGGAAATGTTGCCAGGTTACGGATGGTGAGTGGGCAGGTTTTGTAGAAAACTCTGACCGAAACCAAAGCAATGCAGGCGCCAACATCCTGAAAAGCCAGGTAGAAACCCTTCCGGGTCGTGACCTTTACGTCTCGCACCTCAGTGTTCAGTTTCATGATGCGGTCACCAACGTCCACCTGGGTTGAAAGAGAATGGAGTTGCATTGCAGTAAATGTGCAGTAAACTGTGTCAGCCCTTATTAACTGAATTTGCCTGTTCAACCTAAAGTGGTAGTTGCTATTGAACCATGGCTGATCTTCACATTTTCAGCATTTGGATCTCATCCAGATTGACTTCTATTGATCGCAAAGGTAAAATAAGCTGTAATGCCTACAATGCTAAAATAAGAAGTAATTTTAGAAAAGACTGAGCAAAAGCTCCCTGCCAACATTCCGGGGACTGCAGAATGGACATCCAAGATAAAAGTGCTTGTAAAACAGATAAAAAAATCACAGCTAAGTGCCGCGGGGGGTTTTATTTTCAAGATAAGAGCAAATTAAAGTGAGCGGAGGAGGGAGGATAAAGAACTCAAAGCCTGACTCAGTTGTTTAGTGTTACCTGGGTGAAGCTCTCGTCTGCTGCCACAGTGTCCACCTTAATGAAGCTGCTCTCTTTGATGTAGCTCTCTCTGTCTTCATTTGACTCGTGGTAGTACAGATTGAATGTCTCCTACAAGACAAAAGGGACAGGAAAAAAGTCAGACTGAGGCGTCTATTTATCATCATCAATGCTCATCTTTTCTCTTAATATGATAATGAGTCAAAGGGGGGTTTGTGCTTGAATAACCAGCAGCTGTAATATATAATAAAGCTCCATTAGCAGCAGTCTGTCCATTAACTAATTAGCATAAAGGTTATCATGTTAAAGAAGTCAAGCCTTGACTAGCAGAAATCATTGTCGTCATCTAACTTTGTTAAAACTTTCTACTGTGCTCAAACCATGCAATAACCATTATGCTCTATCAAGACATTTTAAGTATGTTTTTTTTCTACCTTGCAAGTGCCAGTGACCCCTGGCAGGCTATTACAGTCTCTCAGGGTGAACTTGACTTCAACGTAGACCCGCTGAGCGCCGGACCGAGGGATCCAGTCTGTCCTCAACCAGTTGTTCTGATTTGGCTCTAAGACATTGCACACCTGGTATGTTCTGATGGGGACGTTCTTCTCATCCATAATACTCACCTCTTCCCACTGAAAATGAAAACAAAAACAATTATGAAGGCGTCCATTGACTACACCTGTTCATGTTTCAGTTCCTTAATAACAAACTGTGTATACTTAGCATTACATCACTTTACAATATGCACCATAAATATTGAGGTTGATGTCCTACTTTCCAGGCGGCCACTGGTTTCAATTCATGCCAACAGTATGAAATTCAATTTGTAGATACTTGAAACATCCTTAAAAACAAATGCCCCATCAAAGTGTCATACCATCATTAATCAGTAAACATTAGTAACCAAAGTTATGAAATTGCCATGTGGTAAAGCAGTTAAGTGCAGGAAAAAACAATTCAATTCAATAAACATTGACATCTAAAACAGAATCATTAGCTGCCAAGTAGCAATGTTTTTATGATACTGTCGGAACATGAAACCAGTGAAACAAACAATAAACTCAGGTGTTGTAAAAAGCACAATGTGAATGTGGAAGAGTGAGAGAGTAGAGAGTAATACAAAAGACTGTTGACTCTCAAGTGTCAGAGTTTCTGATTTGAATGCACCTTCAAGTGTGTGGTTTCAAAAACAGTCCCTGGTGGCAGCTGCAAATGATTTTAACAAAAGATACATGTGGCAAAAACATTTTTTAATGGGACTGTGATGTGTGATGTAATGTGATTAATACAAAGGTTTAAACTTTACTGAACTCTAATCTTTAGCCCAAACAGAAGTAGTGTCCAGAAAAAACATTTCTTCTGGGGGACTTTATCTTGTTTTTCTATCCATTTGAGGAACTTTTTGTCCTCATAAATACAGAAAAACAAGATCAAATACATTTTAGCTGTGGGGCACATCCTCTTATTCACTGCTGTCATTTGAATGCTCACAGGCTAACATTCATTCATGCATCAATATTCTGCAGTGGACAGTGGTTCAGATTTGTTGCAACTTCAAGGTTTTTACAGGCACATTTCCATACAAGTGAAGCAGCCTCAACCTTCACTGCACCATCCATCTCAATAGAGCGACTATTTGCCTTGTACTGTGACCCTGCAAATGACCGCTGAGCCTCCCAACTCCAAATTGTCTTTTTATTGCCACTGAATAATAATCTGCTCTAGTGAGAGCTGTATACACACTAAATGCACCGTGTCGAAAGAGAGAAAAAGAGAGGGAGGGTCAGAAAATGTGTGTGTGTGTGTGTGTGTGTGTGTGTATGTTTGGGAGGGAGGTCTTGTGAGTGTGTGTCTAATTGAGCCTGATCGATATGTCATCAGGGCTGATCTTACTGGTTGATGTTAGCTTATTACAGATATATTGATTAATTACTCTTGGTGTATATATTGGCAGATGTGAAAAAAACGAAACTGCAGTGCAGTACATTTTTCACAGGCTTCATTTTCATGTTCATTTGACCTAAACTATTCTTTTTTTGACAATACAATTTAATGTTTAACGTAATTTAATTTTTAATGATTTATCATTATCACATATTTATTATTCTCAAGTACTAACACCGGAATCAGCCTAAAAAGTCCAGCGTCGGTCCAACTCTTTAGTCTGCAACTGTGCACTCCTCTATGTACAGTATGTGAATACGAGCGTGTACGCATGTGCGAGAGCACTGTCACATGGTGACGTCTTTGTGTGTTGTTGTATGTGATATACATGTGTGTCTTTGTAGGGTATGTGTGTATTGAGAGCTGTAAAAAAAAGCTGTCATGGAGTATGATGCCTCCTTTTCTAGTTTCTTTTGGAGTCTTTGTCAGCAGACAGAAATCACAGCTGTCAGGGGGGAAAAAGCTTTGCACTTGCCCCAACCATACAGAGATTGTGTTTGGTGTGTGTGTGTGTGTGTGTGTGTGTGTGTGTGTGTGTGTGTGTGTGTGTTGAGTGTGGCTGATGTGGAAGGTGGGGGTGGCTTGTTAATCAAAAGCTCAGTGCGTGTAGAACCCAGAGGACCCGTGCAATCAAGCAAGCATGTGGAGAGCAATGAGGAGCATGGTTGACTGAAGGAATAAGAAGTCAAAAGTTCAGCCAAATAACTCTAATACAAAGATGCGGGGGTGAGAGAGAGACACTGAGCAAAAGGAGAGGGGGGAGAGAGAGGAAGGGCCATGATAGATGGCAGAGTCAATAATGTACCAACAACCAAAAAGTACAACAAAGATGAGGAGATATAATACTGCAAGACTGGAATTTCCCAGAATCATTCTGGCAACCGCATGTAAGTGAAAAATCCCTAAAAACGATTACACCCACCAACCAAGGCTGGTTTATTCTTCTCAGTGTGCCAAAACCGGCCGCCAGCAATTCATATTAGCCAGCTTAGGCATGGTGAAACAACAGGCAAGCATTTAAAATCTGTGGGATGAATTCTTTACAGTGTTCCCAGAGCAAGTGTGTGGCAAGAAGTGTGGTGAGTGAGAGATAGAGTGTGTGTGTTTTCGCAAAGAGAGAACAGGTGTAAACAGTGTATCTGTAAAGAAGGAAAAAAAACAAAAAGAGAAGAAGAGGAAGAAGAAGAAGAAGAAAAGGAAGAGCTCCCACTCCACGCCCTCCTACCGTAACCCTCTGAAGGACTGGGCTGCCCATTTCAGCCCTCCTCCTGTGCACTGATCCATACGTGTATATCCAGCAGGGTCCACTAAATTAATCACACACACACATGCAGGTGGTATATACAGGGAGAAACAGCCTACAGTGATCAATAATATTAAATAAAAAGAATTTTCAGCAGCAGAAATGAGGCATTTGGACAGGCCTTGGAAGAAGTCAACACACCAAAAAACGTAAATAAAATGACTACAGGGGCTTGTGGGACCAAATATGGAATATAAGCAGGAATAGGACATAAAGCTCACTTTTTAATATAATAATAATAGTGAATTTCTATTACATAATACAGATAAGAGTCTATATATTTGAATTCTTGCTGTTTAATAAATGTCAAACAATTATTAGGCATTAAAGAAACAAAAAAGTATTGGGTTTTAGGGTGGAACTGTTTGAGGAATAAAGAGATTATTACAATATAAGTCTATTACCTAAAACTGTACAACCGTACAGTGCGCGCTAACAGTGGACCATAATGTCATTGTGGTGAATATCCCAAGAAACAAAGCTTTTCTGGCCACACCTGGAAAGAGAGAACATGCCAGCTTGAAAATACTTGGGGACACAGCATCCGCGAGGAGAATCCAGGAGAATGACAGCGATGAATTTCACCCAAATAATCCAACTTTATTTGGCTGTTCAAGTTTCCATGCAAATATCGCCCTGCTCTTATACCAAATACCGGAGCGCGCAAACAAAGCGCACGCCAGCGGTTTTTCCCAAGAGTGCAGGAAGCGGAACCCGAATGTGTACACCACGTGTCAGCAGAATTCCCTCCGTAATACACCTTTCGGATAATGGTTGGATAAATTCCTCGTCATGGATACTATTGAACTGAGGAGTATTTAATATACCAGATAAAGGCCAAAAAATAGATTTCGCACCGTAATATCGCAGCCAAGTGGATCAGCCCGCGTGAAAGCGTGTGGTGTTCCCCGTTGGCATTCTGCGCGCAGGACTGAAAAGCGGCGTCCATCGCGGTGGGAAAAAAGTTGGTGTGTGAATGAACCCAAGTGTGAAAAGCGAAGTTGAGAATGCAGCAGCGGATGTCTGGGGCGGATCCTCTATACATCTTAGATGCTACTACCTTAAAGGGTAAAAATTACAAATGAGATGAAAGCCAAATGAACAATTAACCAAGATGCAGTAGGATACTATCAACGTATCAGTGTTCAACTCTATTACATAATAAAGTTAAAAAAAGAAAGCAAGATGAAAATAGGAACCCACTGAAACTGGCTTTGAAATAGGTTGATACAATTTTGATATCGGATTGTAGGACTCTAGAGATAATAAACAAATGGGACCCAATGAGAATAATATTACACTAATATCCCATGCTTAATAACGAGAATCATATTAAACTATTAAATAAATACAAATGTAAAAAAAAAAACTGAAGTAAACTACACATGGTGCATTCCCTATAATTTATCCAAGGAGACGCCACTCCCGTGTCTTCCATGCACGCCAGCGGGTATACAGAGCAGAGAACCCCCCACTGTCAATAGACAACATACATCACAGGATAAAAAATAATAGGAGAGGATAAAAATAAAGATATTAACAAAATGCTCCAGACATCGTTGTTTAAAGATATTCAAGATATGTTAGAACAGATCACCAGTGAAGAACATATAAAAGTGATACCAGCAACGAGCAAATGCACAGCAAGAGCAAAGGGAAATTCCAATAAAAACAACCGTCCATAAATCATCCACGGTATTTATGAAAAATTTATATATTATTATATCATCCACACATAGAAAATAGAGGGCCCTGTACACCTAATGACCAATTAAAAAAACCAACAAACATGATATGTGGTACCAGACAACACAAATTATAAAACTCCAGCTGAAGTGGCCTGAACTTGCTAATGAAATATGTTGGAATAAATTGCCTTTACATTGCCTAAACTGACTCAGGCTGCTCTAATTGTCCTGAAGGCAGCAACAACGCGAGAGTGTGACTGCAGCGCCCACCTTGTATAAGATGTAAGAATTAATAGAGGGGATGGACAGAACATACCACCCTGAAAATGCTCAGGGATCTGCAGGGAGAGAGCTGATTTGGATTACCTTTAAAGGCTGAATGAAGGGATAAAAGGATGGAATTCAATCAATTCACCACCTAAGAAAATATACTTGTTATCCAATACATAACGTATAATTAACTGATAATTTCACATCAATACAAAAATAAAAAAATCCCCAACGATCTAGGCACAACTAAAAAAAGGAAATACAGAAAAGCTGCAATTCAATAAATATCTTAAATAATGAGAAGGCAAAGTTATAAAAAGAATAAAGAGCAGCAAGAGACTAAATATATAATTAACACGGCCTTAATAGGTAGGATAGTGTGTAAGAACGTGGTTGGAGCAAAACAGAAAAAGAGCTGGCTATCATGACCACCATAAAACGAATCCATTCATAACAAATCACCTTAGATCTTTCATAAAAAGACATCTTGGATGACAATCACCTTATAACAAATATTGAATGGCCGGCAAAAGCATATGAAAGAAGTAAATACTTATATCACTTATGTTATATTATAGAATACACCGGATGGGAGTTACGCATATCATGTTATGTACAAAATAATTATAAAAGCAATAGAAAAAAAGTTGAAACAGAGATGTGCTCCCACTAATAATGTTTATTATCGTCCTATTATATTGTTATAATAAACATGTTGCAAAAGATTGGATACCGAACCACCATAAATAACAGTTTGAAAAATCATACCAACAACAAGAGTACCGAGCACAAACAAATTGAGTGGTAATAAGCTGATTTCACGTGGAGATGATATTTAAAACAGGAGGAAGTGAATAGAGTGAAGACGCACTAGCATTCTAATATGCAAAATGATAAAAACAGTGCTTAATGAGTAGAGATCCTCCATCAGAACATCGGCCGGACAAACAAGATAAATCTATACCGACCAAATCTCAATGCATTTGACTGTCTTATACCAGTTTATTGGCATAAAAAAAACGAAACCGAAATACAAATACTCCGATCCCCTTAGTAAAGAGCATCAACAAAATAAAATGTGACCACCAGAAGAGCATCTGGACGCTTAAGAGACGCAAAAACATGATATCCCCGAACTTCGAACCTGCACCCACTTCATTCAATTTCACCCAATAAAATATAACATGTTACTTACTTTCATTTCCCCAAGCGCCCACGACAGCTGCGCAACACTCACCAAGACACACAATATAAGACCAAGAAGGGGATCCAAAGAATAACGATATGATTAGCACATCAGGAAGGACCAGACTGGCCCAATCGCTATCGAGGACAGAAACGGCAGGCAACAGAGGGCCTAATAAGGAGCAGCGGACGCAGGTGGGTGGAGAACTGTAGTGGGGCGGAAGTGAACACACTGACATGGATGGAAGAAAACGCTCCGTTGTTTCTGGTACATAAATTGAGATCACCGAAAAGTATTAATTGGAATTGATAGATACGGGATCGCCCATTCTATATATATATCCCACACATCATCACCCTGAAGAATTTAACCCCGCTCTCTGAGGGGGGATTTCCCACAACGGGCCCCCAATCTAATACAACCTACTATATAAGTAAATTGGCCCTTTACAGCCCTACGCTGCACAAACCACCCATCTACACCACCAGCAGCAACACACACAACTTTACTTTTGTTACCCAAATATTGGTGGCCACAGATGCCGCTGCCACACCCACCACATCTTGTATTCGAAAAGCACTAAAATCAAATAAACATCAAAAGGCACCTAGTGTCATATGATTATATGTTTGCAATGATGTCAACCAATTACCCTGCTTCCCTACACGTAAAGATAATAACATCACAAAGTCTAAAATAGTGATGAAAAGGAGGCAGGAAAAGAAAATAAAAACAAGTACATACGAAAAGTCCAAATGATAATCAGTGCAATGTGGATGAGAGACGATGTAAGAGAAGACCCCGAGGGAAACGGATAAGTGTGTGGGCGGAACTGAGAGAAGACTGAAAAACCACAAAGCAAGACACGAGAAGAAAAGAGTTAAGTAGAGCCAGACACAACTGCCAGTCTTGAGGATCTTGATTGGGTGGAGTGGTGGGCGATCGGGGAAGAGGCGGGGGGGCGGGGGGGGTTGGTGGTGCCTGGGTGTTGAAAAAGGACTTCCCTCCAAGCCCTCGCTAAAGATATACTTCCTTCTGGAGGAGTTGGGTTTCCATTCATGGCTGCGATCCTCACAGTGCTACTTGTATGGGGAATAAAACCATTTATATTCATTACGACTACGACGATATCTCTGGTTATTACATGAAAAGATTAAATATACAGATTTTTTTCCAAATCTTGTACAGTGTGAGTTGTGGTCCTGGTTGACTCCTCGGGTTCTTTCGACAAAAGCGTCATTAAAGCGTATGGTCGCAGGCGTTTTCGTTATACCAGTTTCTCTCGTAGACAGCTGCTCAGTCTTGGCGAATTACTCAAAATTCATGTGTGTCATGCGTGTGGCTGTTGCGTCATGTTTATGCACGTGGTGTTCAAGTAAACAAAGGAAAAGCAAACAGAAGTTCTTCATCAAAAACCCTTAAAAGTGTGGTGGGTGTGTGTGTGTGTGTGTGTGTGTGGTGGTGCTGTGTCTCAATGTATCCCTTTGACTGATTGAGGAAATCTCCGGTTCAAAAACATCTTGCCTATATGTGTGTGCTGTGTAATGCGCAGTAATGTTTGTGTGGCATGTTTTGGCGTTGTGGTTGCAATAAAAACCGGTGTCAAGTGATGAGATGTTCTTCCCATCCATCTGTTTCGGCTGGATTTAAATCTTAAGGGCGAACAATGGGAGGAGAGATTAGAAAAAAGAGAGCGAGAAGAGCACAAGAAAGGACGGAGACAAACGTTTTGAGTGAGAGATTTTAACGATGAATGGTTAGTTTTATCCTGTCCAGTCAAAGGAGCAATAACAAGACCTCTCAGGTTCACCTGCTGGGAGCGCGAGCCCTCCATGCTGCACAATGATCTTTTATCATGTTCTAGAAGGGTGTATACTAAGATATCTATGTGGAAAGAGATGTGGAAGAGAGTGACAGCTGCAGCGGATGTCCTCCTGTGGGATGGTGGTCTCAAATGTACAATGATTAATAAAGTGTTATTGATGGATACTATTGTGTGTGTTATGGTGAGACCAGAGAAGGAGCTCATTGAATAAATACTAGGCCTAAAATACCATAAATAATCATGCCGTCTTCGGCAAGAACGCAAAGCCCCAAGGACCATGATTTTCCACCCCTACAAGTCGAACTGGTTGACCCGAGAGCACTTTAATGAAATCCACTAACGCCCTACAAAGTTCATCCACAGATAACAAGACCACCCTAAAAAAAAAAATACGTAAAAAACATACGATTGATTTTACCTAGTAAACTTCACTAACAACCCTTTCCCCAATATCATTGATATATCCCTCAACCACAGTAATACAATTCAGGCTCACTTTGTATATACCTACCGGAAGATCATCCCTGGGACCAGGAAAGGATAAAAGCTCATAGCCAGAAATAAACAAAAAGAAACAATAAACTCTGGGCGCATATATCACATACATGTGACAAACGTAAAGGTGAATCCGTGTTTAAAAAAATTCAAAGGTAATAAAGATAAGACATTCCACCTCTTTTAAAAAATTATCGTCATTCCATACTGTGAACTCATTTCTATGTTGGTAGGCCAGAATAGGAATGATTATTACAGAATGATCAGTGAACAATATGATGCAACCTGCAAGAAAAACAGTGAATAACTATTACAAGCTGTTAATACAAATATTATACAACAACCAAGTAATATCGTTAATTCTTAATAAGTTACTAATAATCAACCAAACATAATAGATCCTACAATACACCACCCGCCGCTACTTCAGTTCACCCAACAACTCTGGCACACCAGGGCAGTGGGATTGTAGGAGGAGACGGTGGACAGAAATCTGCTTGGAATCAACAATATAATACCACAAGTAATTTACCATAATCCTCAATAAAATATTGAAGAGCGCATTGTTCATGCCGTCGCGGTCTGAAAGTCTGGAAACACACGCTAATTAATGAAACAAACATTTTTTTGAAGATGCATGCCACAGCCAACGTGGCCTCTGGAGATTTTTCATCTCCTCTGCGCCTTCCTTCGCTGGTAAACCTCCTCTGTTGTGACAGTCTGAATTTTAAGGATACTGACAATCCCCTTTTCCGTAGTTTTTTGAGGAAGTTTCTTTG